AGCTGCGGGTGCATGTGAGGCCGGGCGCTGGTGGAAGGTATGGGTGGGGGACGCCTGGGGAGCACATGTGTCCGGCTTTCCACCTAGGTGGACAGTCCTGGCTGAGGCCCCTCCCTGCTCTTGAGTTCCCGGGTTCCCAGAGTTCAAAGGCACTCTTTAGAGGGTGCAGTGGAGGGGGGGACCCCCAGGCATGGAGACTCGGTGTTCTGGGGACTGGGGCTGCTGGGCACAGGAGAGGTGATGGTGCAGGGGGCCTCCAGGTGTCAGGGGTCTTCAGGAGTCATCAGGTTTTGTGAGAGGGAACAGATCCTTTGCCAGGCAGCATTTGCACGGAGGAGGGCTGGTGCCTGAAGCCAGTGAGAGAGAGAGAGAGAGAGAAGGGGAGAAAGAAGGAGATAGGGGGAGGGAGTGGGGGAGAGAGAGGGAGGAAGAGGCGGGGGAGAGAGAGTCTCCCGTGGAAGATGAGAGGACAGAGGTGGATGGTAGCCAGAGGTAAGGGGGTTCCTGGCCTGGCCACTGGACACCCTCCCCAAACTGTTCTCGGAGAGCATCAAAGCAGGGTGGCCAGGGATGTGGCCACCAGGGATCCTGGCTCTGAGGGCACGTGGGAGGCACAGCGTGTGTGACCCGGAATCACGCGTGCACCTGTGCGCACGCTCACTCATGCTCACAGGCATTCAGCTGCTGTGCACACACTCACACACATGTGCCTGGGCATGGATGCACATGCCTTGCATACAATCAAGCTTTCTTCTGCACGCACACACCTCACGCACAGTCCCGTGTGCAGACTCACTCCTCGTGCACAGTCTCGTGTGCACACACCTCACGCACAGCTTCATATGCACACACACGCTCACTGACTCCTGCGTCCACTGATGTGTGTGCACGTGGGCTTACACAGCCGACTCTAGCACCCCTCTCACCGTGGGGCGTGCTCACACCCACAGACATGCACTCTGTAGTCACAGACTCTCACACCTCACCCCCACGTGCACACACTCAGGGCCTTGTGTGAGCTTGCACACTCACACCTGTGAACCCACGTTTCTGCGAATGCATTCACAAAGACACTCACAAGCTCACACACATTCAGGAGGAAGGCGATTCCCAGGCGCACCCTCACCTCCCATCCCTGGTCCTGCATGGGCTGCCAGGCAATCTCCACTTCCCATCTACTCCCACTTGGCTACTGGTCTACAGAGCGGTTCTCCCGCCCCTGGGTGGGGAGCCACAGCCCCTGGGATCAGTCTTGGGGGGGTGACAACTGGGACAGAGGTGCTAGTAGCGGCAGGGACAGATGAAAGCAGATGGCCAGTGGGTGAGGAGCTGGCCTGGTAGGTATCAGAGGACTCCTGCTTTCACTTTCTGTGTGACGTGTGATGTTTTTCTAGATAATGTCCCGCTCCTGGGCCTTCTCTGAGCTGGGTGGGGCATCTCACGTCACGTATTTGTCTCAGAGAAGCTATGATTTGTCCAGGGTCTCCACGTTGGCCTGAATGTGGTGGTTCCCCGTCCCCAGCTCTTTGGATCTGCCCTCTGTCCCTCAGCTCCGTCCCCCACCCCTCGGCTCTCTCCCTCTCCCCTCAGCTCCGTCTCCCACCCCTCACCTCTGTCCCTCTCCCCTCAGTGCTGTCCCCCATCCCTCAGCTCTGTCCCTCACTCCTTAGCTCTGTCCCTCATCCCTCAGCTCCGTCCCCCACCCCTCAGCTCTGTCCCCCACCCCTCAGCTCTGTCCCCCACCCCTCAGCTCTGTCCCCCACCCCTCAGCTCTGTCCCGCATCCCTCAGCTGGGTGCTCTGGATACACCAGCATTTGGGCAGGGGCCAAGCCGCTGGCCAACTGAGTGGCCATTCAGATCCTGCTCTTAGACGAGGCTAATGCAGGTAAAAGGCCCTGCAAGGGGAGTACTCTGCAGGCCCTGCTTGGCACGTGCGTGAGGACAGGGCACGCAGCGAGTGGGCATGTCATGAGCTCCTGTCTCAGAGCCACCTCACAGGTGGATAAAAGCCCAGAGAGCAAAGGGCAACCCATGTGACTGGCCCCAGGCTGGGCCTCAGCCAAAATGGCCTTGTGTGCAGGGAGGTGGACACCTGGCCCTCTCTTTTCTCTCGGGCTGGCACACACTCAGAGTCCAGGTCCAGGCAGGTCAGTCAGCAGGTTGCATAAGCACATCTACGCTGTAGTCAGTGACAAAGAGCCCCGCCCTGGTCCCCTGCACTCAGCTGAGGAGAAGCCCAACTTTGGCCTGACCTCCTGGACCTTGGTAGCCTGGCTCCAGGCCAGGCCTGGGGAGACTGACCTCGAAGCCCCGGACAAAGATTCATCCCTAGACAGACTGGGCTCAGTGGGTCCCAAGATGAACTGGTCCCAACTGGTGGAGTGCTCACTGTATTCTGGACTCTCTGAGGCCTTTGTGGGAGCAGAGACGGCCTTGCGTGCACACGTGTGTGCATGTGTGTCCGTATGTGTACCTGTGTGTGCACCTGTGTACACACTTGTGGACAGATGTGTGTGCCACGTGTGTACACACACGTGACCCGTGTTTGTTCACATATGTACACATGTATGTATCATGTGTTCTCACAATTGTGTGTGCTGTGGTCATACTTGTGTGTTCTCTGTGTTGATGTGTGTCTCTGTGTTCACACATGTGTGTTATGTGTTCCCATGCACGTGTGTGCTCTGTGCTCAGGTACATGTTCACCCACGTATGTGCCATGTGTTCTCATGCACGTGTGTGCTGTGGGCATACTTGTGTGTTCCTTTGTGTCTCAGTGTTCGCACATGTATGTGCCATGTGTTCTCATGCACGTGTGTGCTGTGGGCATACTTGTGTGTTCCTTTGTGTCTCAGTGTTCGCACATGTATGTGCCATGTGTTCTCATGCACGTGTGTGCTGTGGGCATACTTGTGTGTGCTGTGTGTTGATGTGTGTGGTGCGTCTTCTCATGTGTTGGTGTGTATATTCATGCATGAGTGTGTCTACACTGTTGTCACATGGATGTGCACATGTCCTGTGTGGACCGGTGTGTCAGCCTCACAGTCGCACCTCTCTGTGCGCAGTGACAGAACCCAGGGGCCCAGGGAGAAGAGGCAGTATAGGGCCTCTCTGAGACAGCATTCAGGGTGCGAGGCCTCAAGGCCCCCACAACCACACCTCATCCATGCGTAGAGCAGGCTCCCCAAGTGCAGAAGCGCTGTCAGACCCAGGACCATCTGACAACTCGGCACTGGCTCTGTTCTGAGAAGTCTCGTCTCAATGCACACCAGCGTGAATGCACCTTCTGGAAATTTCTCTCAGGCACACAAGCTGTAGGGGAGAGATCAAGTCTCCAAGTTCCAGGTGTCTCTGCCTCGGGTGCCTCGTCTCTGAGGCAGGAAAGGCTGCAGTCCTGCCAAGCCACGCTCCATGGCCATATGTGGACTCGGGGGTCCAGGGTCATGGGCAGCAGTGAGCCTAAAGAAAATGAATATTCTTCTGAGCCTTTGGTCAGGTGACCCAGCACGCACCCCAGCCAGGGCCCAGAAGCTGGTAGGGAAAGGGTGCACCCTGCTGAGGTAGAGGGTGCTATGGGTTCCCCTGTGGACGGTAGGCAGAGCGTCCCTGGCCACCTTTGCACCACTGGGCAACATTCTGCATGTTCTGGTGGAATTGCCCAATTTAAGAATGGTATTAAAAGAAAATATTCCAGAGATTGATGTAAAAGCTTGTCTGTGGTGCCAGGAGTCTCCTGAGAGTAGCAGTGGCAGGTGGCTCTGTGTGTGTGTGTGTGTGTGTGTGTGTGTGTGTGGTGGACAGAGTGACAGGTGGCCCTGTGGTGGGCGGGTGGCAGGTGACTGTGGTGGGGTGACAGGTGGCTCTGTGGGGGTGGCAAGTGTCTCTGTGGAGGGCAAAATGACAGGTGGCCCTGTGGTGGGCGGCAGAGTGACAGCTGGCTTTTTGATGGGCGTGGTTTCAGGTGGCTCTGTGGTAGGGTTACAGGTGACTCTGTAGGGGCAGGATGGCAGGTGTCTCTGTGGTGGGATTAAAGGTGGCCCTGTGGAGAGGTGGCAGGTGTCTCTGAGGCGGGCACGGTGGCAGGTGGCTTGGTCACATCCAGCCTCAGCTCTCAGGACCTGCCCTGCAGAACGGGCAGCTGGACTTCCTTGTTCTAGCAAGAGAATCGGCTGCAACTGTGCACGGTCTGTGTCTGTGGGAGAGGAAAGGTCTAAGAAGGTTGGATGTGATGAGCAGTGCCCCAGGAGGGCAGTGAGAGTGGTCCCTGCCCCAGAGCAGAGCTGTCCTCGCAGGTCTCGGTGGGCCGTAGGGGCCAAGGACACCCGTTCTGGGGCACAGGACAGGGACACTGTGACTGTTGACAGTGAAATGACTCCTCAAAGACTTCACAGTTCAAATAAAAAAAATAGGCATTCTGGGGTCCCCAGGGCGTGGGGACTTTTAAAGGAATATTAGAGGCTGTTGAACCGACCGGGGCTCACTGGGCTGGTTCCCAGGGGGGAGTCAGCATAGAACTGTGTAGGGTGGGGGTTCTCACTGGGGGTTGAAGTAGAACGAGTGGTTGAGGTAGAACTGGGGGGGTTCTCACTGTGGGGTCAGAGTAGAACTGTGCAGGGTGGGGGTTCTCACTGGGGGCAGGGTTTGACCACTGGGTGTGTGGAGTGGCAGGTGGGAGTAGAACTGCCAGGGGGTCTCAGTGGGGGATTCCAGACGTAGTTACCAGGGCTTTACTCTGAGCCACCTTGGTGTTGAGTCAGCGGCTGTCTCTACAAATGCCCCTTGTGGGCTTTAATGGGAGGTTTCCCCCTCTGTCCCCTGCTGTTTGATTTGTGGGAGTAAGGCTCCGGAGAAAGAGAGAGCAGGGTTCTAGGGCCAGTTGTCCTTCCCGGTGTGTCCTGGGGTCCCAGGTGTAACTGGCCCAAAGCTCTGTGCTCAAGCCAGGCTTCCAAGCTCCTGGCCTGCCTCTGGCCTCTGACCCGTCTCACTCTCCTTCCTCCAGGGGTGTCCCAACAACAGCTCATCAGGACCAGGGACTCCTGACCACCACCTCCATCCTGCCACCTGCCATGCCAGCCTCCTGCTGGGCACATGGCCCCCACCCCCAGCTCTGGACCCTGCTGCTTCTGACCAGCTTCCTGCATGTGCAGTGTGGAGGTGAGATGCCACGCTCAGCAGCAAGGGGGGCGGGGGACCCCCAGGTAGTGACCACATGCCTGGAGCCACGGACCTAGGGGAAGGTTCACCCGGTGCCCCAGGATGAATGCAGAGGAAGGTGATGGACAGGCACCTGGCCTCACCCAGGTCAGCATCTATGGGGTGCCAGGACCGCGCCCTGCCCAGGACCTATGAGGGTTCCGGGACCACACCCAGTTTGGTTAGAAGAGGTTCCTGTGCTGTTAGGGGGTGTGTGTGGTGGCCTTGGGCTGACCTTTAACAGCGTCCCTGTGATCTAACCCAGTCTAGACGGCGTCCCATCCTGACTGTCACTCACGTTACCCAGGCCCTTCCCAATCAAGATTTGGGGTGCAGGCATCCACAGGTTTAAATTTCCCTGGTGACGCACCGTGGGACTGGGTGGGGAGCCTTGACCCAGAGCAGGGTGTTAGGGTAGCTCAGGACCACTGGGGGCCACGGGCCTGAGATGCCACCTGCCAGCCTTTTACAGGTTCTGAGACCTGGCCCACCGACTGGGAGAGGGCCCCTCACTCCCAGCACCTCCCAGGTCAGGTTGGCAGGGCAAGGGGCAGTGACACCATGAGTTAACCCCAGAGTGGACTTGGGCCACTGCCTGGCACACTGATGGTTAAAAGCCAAGGGCAGCCAACATTCTGGGAGGTGCAGAGCGATGAGATCAGGTGGATGGGTGGACGTTGGAGGAGGGATGATGAGGCCAGGGGAGGGGCGGTGAGGTCAGGGGATGGGACAGGATGAGGCCGGGGGAGGACCGGTGAGGTCAGGGGGAGGGACAGGGAGGTCAGGGGGAGGAGCTGGACGGAGATAGAGATTCAGTGATTCAGTGCAGGTGAGATGAGGTGAAGTGGAGCTCACGCGGAGGGAGGTGCAGGCTGGTGCAGGGAGAAGTAGGCCGGGTTGAAGGAGGTGAGGCCAGATGGAAGACAGTAGGTGCTGGATGGTGGAGTTTGCCGCGCGCGCACTAACTGAATTCATGATGTGTCTGCAGGGTTTGGAGCTGGCCTCCTGCAGCGGGCACGACAGCTTCCTGATGGAAGTGGAGGGACCTTTTCTGAGGTCAATACAGGTAGGTCCGCCCTCATTAGGAGCCCACGAGCTGGCTATGGTACCGCCTCTCCATCACCTTAGACTCCTCCGCTTTCCTCGGGCTCCATGTTAGGGAAACACAGAGCGACTCCCAGAAACACAGCCCAGGTGACGCGTCACAGAGCCAGCGAGGTTCCGGGCACCGGCAGACACCTGCACACCCGTCCAGGCCCCGCGGTCTGGGCTCCAGTCCTGGGCCTTCTCCCACACAAGACTCAGGAGCAGATGTGACAGGGCATTGTGTGGGTCTCTGTGTTCTCACACTGTGTTCTCAGCAGCGCTGGGCCAGGACCTGTGCCCCTGGTCCTCCACCGCCTCTCACTGTCTGGGGTGGCAGCGTGGGGGGCTGCCACAGGCCGAGCATCTCTGAGAAGAAGGTGGGGTCAGGTCTCAGGAGTGCTGGGCTCCTGGGTCTGGGTTCCCCTGCCCCCAAGGCAGCCTGCCGCTGAGGTCCACACGATGTGCTGTGGGCCCCCCAGGGCTGGGGGGACCAACAGGGCATTGGAGACCCCAGGGGAGACCCACTCCATTATATCTACCCTCTCCTCCAGCCCTCCTCAGTGAGACAAGCTTTTCTGGGGATCCCTCTGTGGAGCTGCCCCCTCACCCTTTCAGGCCTCAGGTGGAAGCCCCCTCAGGCTGTGTGATGAACTGAGATGTGGGGTCGAGAAGCAGGAAGGGAAGGAGGGAAGCCAGACCACAGTGGGGGACAGGCCACTTCCTGGCACCGAGAGGCCCAGCCGTCAGCTGCCAAAGTCCTGGTGCCTACAGGCCCTCTGCAGTAGTGTTTTGTTGACACAAACCCCCCTCAAACTCATAGCTTTCAAGTGAAAACTGACTGAGCTGCTCCTGCCCGTCTGGCTCGTGTGGAGCTGCTGGTAGAGTCACATCACCTATGGGAGCCACCTGTGGACCAACAGGGCCAGTCCCTGCAAATGGTCCCACGGGAGCAGGTGTGGCTGACGAGTACGCAAAGGTATCAGATAGCGTGGATCCCAACAAGTTAGCGATAACATTGTATGGACGGGAATTCCAGAACACTCCGTGCTCATGCCCAACCTGCCCCTCCACAGCCTGGGACGACCCCACCTGCACCGACGGAGTGGTGTCGGTGTCACAGGGCGAGCGAGCAGTGCTCACCTGCATCATTGCCAACAGCTTCACCCACGTGAA